TAATTAATGGCCATGATCCCAGAGACTCAGAAACAAATCTCAAAACCCAGCAGCTTTTGGCAGAAATGCATCTGGATCGCATACAAGGTGGCTGCTGCCTCAGAGCTTATTGGAAAGCCAGGTATGAGCCAGCGGTGATGGGGCAACTGCAGTCTCATGGGAAGGGGGGCGGTACCAGCTCGTCCTTCACACCCTACTGAGGTCACGAGTTGCCCCCCATGAGAGGCTCTCCAGCACGGCCATGGCTCCAGAGGCAAAAGGACTTAATCCAGAGCTTGGCAGCTTGCAGCAGAAAAGTGAATGGACCATTTGTTAATGGTGCCATGTGTCCCCGGGAGGGAAAAGTGTTGCTTCCTTCGCCTTCCCCCCACTCCCCCAGCAGCAAGGTGGCCGCCTCCTCAGAGCTTATTGGAAATCCAGATATGAGTGAGCAGTGACGGGGCAATTGCAGTTTCATGGGAAGGTGGGCGGTACCGGCTCGTCCTTCATGCCCTACGGAGGTCACGAGTTTCTCCCCATCAGTGGCTCTCCGGCACAGCCATAACACCAGATGCACAGAAACCAACCTCGTAATTATCTGGCTCTTTGCAGAAATTCAAAATCGCGAGGCCGCTATTGCAGTCACGCGAGATTATATGATTTTCATAACCAGCTATAGAAAACAAAGTATTTCACAATGCCTCTTCAGCAATTCTGATTGTTGGGAGGAAAATTCTAAACAATAATGGTGCATCTTTTGTCAAAACAATGAATGTAATCAATGTAGAGAAGGTTAAGTGGAAATCATCTGCCTCACAGGCATTGGGAGGAGTGGAAGGGGGGAATATTGGGGTTCTTGGTGATGAAAAATGAGTACTGGCGAAGGGAGAGGTGTTTGATCATTGTATGACCGAGACTTAAACCTGAAAGCTTTGTAACTTTTCCCACAGTGATTCAATAAATAAATATAAGAAGAAAAAAAATAAATAAAATTATGAAAAAAAGAAAGGTGGAGTTCATGCCCAATTCAATCAGCTAATCAGTGGCTGAATAAATAGCAATACTCCTACATAAAAAATAAATAAAATAAAATAATTCATGAGATAGCTACAGTACAGAGGGTAGAGCATTTGCCTTGCACACAGCGAATCTGAGTTTGATCCCCAGGACCACATACGGTCCCTTGAGCCTGCCAGGAGTGATCCCTCAGGGCTAGGGTGACCAAGTTATAAACCCATTTTGAGAACGTGAAAAAAGAGAATATTTTTTTCATTTGTGAAGTTCAGTTGTGAACTGTGGTCACAACTGCTAGGTTCTTCAATATTTCCTTTCTGAGATGTGTGTGAAAATTTCCTCTTTGGGGTTTTTGGTTATAAATGAAGAAAGTTTGGTATTTAATTCAGTTAGATCTGATTTCAAGATAGTTCTGATTTCAGTTTGTGGTGTGTCCCTATTACTAGCTTTGTGACTTGGGCAAGAATTTTTCTGAACCTCAGCTTCTCCCCGCCTTTTTAAACGAACACATTGCGGGTCGGAGAGAGTGCAGTGGGTAGTGCACTTGCCATGCACATATCCGACCTGGGTTCAATCCTCGGGATCCCATATAGTCTCCAGGGCACTACCAGGAGTGACCCCTCAGCTCAGATCTCGGATAAAACCCTGAGCACAGCAGGTTGTGAGCCATCTCCAAAATTAAAATAATTGACACTAATAACTGGCAGTAGTTTTAGTTCTTTATGTCTCAAATAAGCAACATCCTTGACCATTTACTATTATTTACTCCTTCTAACAGTCTCAGAGTTATCTATCCTTTCTTCATAGCACTGATTAGTTTGTAGTTATATGTCAAATTGAGTGATTATTTGGTTAATATCTATTTCCCCTATGGAACCCTAAATTACATAAGTGCTTAATCCATGACTGATGTTATAGTAGCAGCACCCAAATGCAGCCTGATACAATTGCCTCTCAGTATTTTGTTTTGCTTTATTTGTGGGCAATACCCAGTGGTGCTCAGGACTTACTTCTGGTTCTGCGCTCAGGGATTACTCTTGATGAGCCTCTGGGAACCAGATGAGGTACCAGGGATCGAATCTGGGTCAGCCATGGGCAACGCAAGTACCTTACCTGCTGTACTACCTCTCCAGCCTCTCTACTCAGTATTTTTTATTCATCACCATGAATAAATGATGCTATGGAATATATGAAAACTGTAGCTATTTTAAAATCACTAATCTGCCTTGAGATGTGTTATTCAAAAGATGGGTACCAAAGTATGTATAATGGCTTGTTTCTTCCACAGGTAGATTACTGACACCAACAGCAATTCTGACACCATTACACTGTGTGTCAGTGACCCTCACTCCCAGACTATGACACCAGTTGAGAATCTCGCAGTGTAGAATAGAGGAAAAAGAAGAACTCATAGTTGTTTATGTATTATAAGTATTATTTATTTGAAAGACATTCAATTAAAAACATTATTTATTTTGAGTGTCATATAATGCCCTAAGTTGTGAGCCAGACCAGAGACCCCAGTGGCCAGTATGGAGTTCTTATTTTCTAATGGTCCAGAAAAAAGATCTCAGAATCTATTTCCAGGAGCAATTTGCCTCTATCCCAGTGGTCATTACTGACTGAGTCAAGAAGATGTGTCAGATAGCCTTTAATGTATTTAGCATAGAAATTGAAAGTGTACAGAACTTTTACTCTCAAAAGAGAAAAGCAGAGGAAATGGGTATGCTACAGAAAGACTGAAATTATGCACAGGGACTGGAGCAGTAGTATAGTGGGTAGAGCATTTGCCTTGCATGTGGCCGACCCCAGTACTATCCCCAGCCCCCTGTGCTGCCAGTAATGATTCTTATGTGCAAAGCCAGGAGTAAGTAATGGGTGAGGCCCAAGAACAAAAACAAACAGACAAGAAGAAATCATACACAGAAAGGAACATTTATAAATGATTGAAAAGGAACGGGCTTTTTCTGACCCGGATTCTGCATCTTCCTCAGTGAAAATTTCTCAGCCTGTCAGGGGTCTTAACTCCTCCTGGCTTCCAATTATTGCTTCAGCCACAGTCAGAGCATGAGAGCCACCGAGCAGACCAGCAGACCAGATCTAACCAAGATTTTGCTGCAGCAAATTCTCACATTTGTTGACCACAGATCATCTCTCCCTCTCCTTTTCTCTCTTTTCCTTTTCTTTTCTCATCTTCCACATTTCTTAGACTTTGCCCTCCTTCTCTTCCAAATTCCTCTTTTTTTTGTTGGAGGAATGGGAGGTAGAGAGGGTGTTCTTCCTTAAACTCTTTAGGCCACAGGCCTGGAGCTCCAGGCTGGAGAGATAACACAGAGCCTTGAAAGATAGTACAGAGGGTAAGGTGTTTACCTTGCATGCAACCAACCAGAGTTCAATTCTTAATCCCCAGAACCCCATTTGGTTCCTCGACAATGTCATGAATAACCCCCAAATACAAAGCAGGGGCAAGTCCTAAGCACCTCTGGGTGTTTAGGACTTAAATAAAACTAAATAAATAAATAACCAATATTTTTTGGCTCTTCTGTTAATCGATCTTTTGATTTCCAGTGGTCTCATTAAAGAACCTGGAACCTGCCCCACCTCTCCTACCTCACCCATATATCTAGATTCTGTATTCTTGATCCAAATCCTTCAACTTCCTAATATGTTTCCCAAATCTGCTCCAAACCCCAATTTTTGTATTTAGGCAGAGCAGAAATACTTTGTTTCCTAATAGAAACAAAATACTTTGTTTTCCTTTTTGTTCCTCGATCCTTTCTTACACTTTCTTTATTCCAATTGCTAATTGGGTATTAACTCTAAGGTTAGTATTATCCTTACTAATTATTATAATAATTATTATTATGTACATTATTTCCCTACTAATAATAATATGTAAGATACTTTCTGATTACCTGTAGAAACAAATAGAAAACATTGAGGAACTCTCGGTTGCATGTTAGAATTTACTTGTGAAAGTGTTACTACCTTTCATTTTGCTATTGCTGTTCACATATTCTTTCACTTATCAAGTCAGTGTTTTCAGCACAGGGAGAGGTTTCTGTATTGCATAAGCCAGATAGAAGACACAAGGTAGAGACTGAACAAAAGGCTTTCAAGCTTCCTCTCTCCGTGCAATAAAGTAGAAAAAGAACAAAGATATTTTGAGTCTTAACAGTTACAACTCCTACCCACCCACCCTCTCTCCAGTTTACCATATAAAAATAAAGCACCAAACTAAGATCAGGTGCCACAAACAGACCAAATCGGAAGACCAGGGAACTGCAAAATCCCTTTAGAATTGCATTTCGAGAAACCTCCTTTGTGAAGCAGATGGTCTTAATTTCTTCCACTAATGTTAGGAGACTTTTGGTGTTTCCCTTGGCTTGGAGAAATAAACCAGCTTTTTCTAAGTCCAGCTCTGCCGTGTAATTCTTTTCATTAAGAACTGATCAGCCGTGAAAATTTTCCCACTGACAAAAGTACAATTGATCATCTATGAACAATCATGAAATAGTTCCACTTCCAAATAAACATAGACAGTATTTACAAAGAAACTATGTGAAGTGAATATAAAGGTAAAGGTAAAGGCCCTCCCGTTGATCATCGATTTGCTCGAGCGGGCCCAGTAACGTCTCCATTGGAGACTGTGTTGTTACTGTGTCTGGCATATCGAATACTCTCGGTAGCTTGCCAGGCTCTCTGAGAGGGGCGGAGGAATCGAACTCGGGTCGGCCATGTTGGCCGCGTGTAAGGCTAACGCCCTACCCGCTGTGCTATAGTTTGAAGAAATAAAGGACTTTCTTCCTTCAAAGTTTCAAAGACAGGGCAATGAAGGAAGTAGAAGTGAGCCTTAGACAAGAAATAACCTCAAGAACTGCGTTGGGTAACAAAAGTAGAATGTTAGGAAATGAAAACCTTTATCTCTCCGTATCAGCAATCAGAAAAAGGATCTCAAACACATGCACAATCACTAGAATGCAGCAAGAAGTCACTTTATTGCCTTGAATACACTGTTACAAAATTCAACAGAAATTGCAAGATTGAAAATGGAGGCCTGAATCCTTCTTTGCTCTATCCTCCTGCCTGGTTCAAAGCTTCTGAAGCTCCATAGTAGAGAATCTTATTTCTTTCTGTCCCAACTTTGGTCTAGAAACCTAGACATCCATCTTCTCTCAATACTTCTTCTGTGGGAACCAGGGAAATTCAAAGAAAAGGAAAAAGAGATCATAACAGAACCCTTGTCAAGCGTGAAGGATGATGAAACTAAACAATCCTATCTAAATGTACAGGAACCAGCTGATAGAAAGGGTCTTTCTTCTCAGAGGCTTCACAGGCGATGATGAAGAACTTGTGTTGGGCAGCATCTTTGTAGCGGCAGGTGGGATACTTCCCTGAGTTGAGCTTGCACTGAGTCATGCTAACAGGCTTTGGACTCTGGTGGCAGTTTTTCCAGCCATTTTTGCAGTCAATGTTGGGCAAATAACACGTGGCAGCTACATCCTGGAAGGAGGCATGCAGAAAGGTGTTTTCAGGCTTACAATGATGAGTATAATCATTGACAACGCTCATTGCCTTCTCACATTGAAGGGGTGTTGGTTGAATGTGCTGGATTTCAAACCATTTGGCCTTGGTGAGATTCCTAGGCATCGCTAGTGGACACACAGGCAGCCAGAATCCCAGCAGCAAGAAGAAAAGAGGAAAGCATCCCAGAAGATCTAGCACCATCTTTTCTGTGTGGGAAGAAGGAAAATAATGGTAGTTGTGAAATCAATAATGACAAGCTTTAAAAAAGTTGCTCTTTTTTTCTCTCTTAAAAAAAAAAAAAACTTCTTCTTATGGGGTTGGAGAGATAGTACAGCGGATTAGGTACTTGCCTTGCATGCCTCCCAGCCAGGTTCTATCCCTAGCACAATATATGGTCCCCTGTGCATCAATTCCTGAGTAAAGAGCCAGGAGTAACCCCTAAACATTGCCAAGTGTAGCCCCCAAACAAAAAACAAACAAGCAAAACCCTTCTTTTGGGTTCTGCAGATCCAGTACAGCAAGTAGGGTGCTTGCCCTTTGTAAGTCCACCCAGGTTCAATCAATATCCCATATGATTTCCTGAGCACCACCAGAAGTAATTCCTGAGTGCAGAATCAGGAGTAATCCCTGAGCATAGGCAGGCATGGCCCCAAAACTAGGAAACAAACAAACAAAACACTTTTTTATTCTCACTTAAGTCTCACAATCCTGTGAAGAACTGAGGCCCAGTTAAAAGGAATATGAGGCAAAAAGAACTTTCTACTGATTGGCAGGTCCCATTGTTCTTTGCTCTATACTCATGTATTTGAAATCCTTATGTCATAAATGTAGACCCTTTTTTTCCTTTCCTACTCCCAAATATTTTCCCTTTATTGATTTGACCTTATCTTCTCAGCCATCTTTGCTGCCATTCTCTATCCAATCCTGACGCTCCTTCCTCTTACCATATCTCTGTGCCGAAGCTCTGCTAAGAAGAGAAGCAGTAGATAGTGCCACGCTCAGAATCTTTGTCTCCTGTTCTCCCCAGCACGCCAGAGCTGTCTGTGTGGGACAAAGAAAAATATTTGAGCCCCAGGAAAGAGAAACTTTAAGATCAAACTTTTTTAGGAAGTGTGAATTAACTCTTGAACTTTAAAACTTGAAATAGTACCATTCTACATAAACAGTGCAACTCTAAACTTAAAGTTTTGAGGAAGTGATACCTTCCTTATAAGGGTTGAATGTCTCCTTCCTAATCTGAAGCTTCTGTTTTTTGAAGTTGTTTGATTTCAGTTCCTTAAGAGAAAATACACTATGTAAATTTGATGTTGCCACATCATTGGTAATCTAAGTTCCAACATGAGTTGGAATAATTCATGAGTGAATTATTAATTTATGCATTTGTATATTGACCAGATACTGGGCTACTCAGATTCAAGGTCTCATGAGAAAAAGATGAAAATACAAATATGCTATCACTAAAAATATAAATAGTGCATACACTCAGGATAGAGAAAACTCAGGGAACTATGAAATTCTAGAAGGGAGCAAGGATTGTTGCTGTGTTTTGAGAATTAATTTCAATTAATTAGAAATTGAATCAAGAGAGTAAAGACATTCCAAAAGGGGATCCATGTATGAAGAGATCTATAAGGATGAAGAAGGACATATTCAAGATACTTACTTCTAGAACCTGTTCTTAACTTTCCATTGATACTGCAATACCTGTTTTCAGAACCTCATTGACTTATGAAAGGCCACATGGGTGCCACCAATATGATCCCCTTCTTTTAATCTCTTCACTTTCTTTTTTATTTTTATTTTATTTTATAAAGTAGTTCACAATAATGACTACTTTTAATATTCAAACACCAATTTTATCATCATATTTCAGATGCTTCATTCCGAATTCCAACCGCACCCCCAAAGCAGCAGCACAATAATTTATTTTGTATTTTGTTATGAATAAACTGCTGAAAATGATCCAAAAAACGTTTTCTTAGAGAAATGTGTGTGAAGATTGTTGTATTTCACCCAGAGGCCATTAAGCCCTTCTTATAGATTACTATCATGTTGTTAAATGTTGAGCCGTGTGTGTGTGTGTGTGTGTATGTGCAAATATATTTCCTCCTAAAATTGGTTGCCTTCTACTCTAAACCTCATCAAATGTGGAGCACTACTCTTGGAATGTTAGTGGTGTGAAGTATGAGATGTCCAGGCATAGGTTCACTCATGGGTGAGGCTCGGCCTGAGCATGTGGAGAAAGGCCGTGAGCATGGCAGCAGTTGAGCTTTGGAGCTTTTTGCCTGCTGGGGATGGCTCCTAGGAGCATTGAGGGGCCTCACCCACCCCCTCTGGGTTGCTCTGAATTAAACAGCCTGGCGCAGGGTCCAGCGGCATGGCTATGGCATGTCATTTTATGCTTTCTTTAGAGATTTTATAATGAGTCTCTGGATCTTGCCATTGATGAGATTATATGGCACCAGTCAGAGGTGACTTGTGGGCATGACTGCCAAGTTGCCAAAAATGGGAAGATGGGGGGAGGTCACCCATACCTGGTTATATTGAACCTGAGCCTGAGATTTACAGTTACAAGTCCCGCATACCATTTTCTGCAGATTCTCTCTGGGTGAGGCTTAACCTGAGCATGTGGAGAGAGTGGCCATGAAAACCTCTTCACTTTCAGTGAGTCAGAAAGAGAGGGACAGACATAGAAGGACTGAACTCATTTGTAGAGTAAAAAACAACATAATGTGAGACTGACACCTAAGGATAGTAGATACACGGGACAGATAGATTGCTCCATAGCTGGAAGCCTGCCTCATGAGCAAAGGGGAGAAGGCGGCTAGAATAGAGAAGGGATCGCTAAGAAAAAAAGATGGCTGGAGGAATCGCTTGGGATGGGAGATGTGTGCAGAAAGTGGATAAAGGACCAAACATGATAACCTCTCAGTATCTGTATTGCAAACCATAATGCCCAAAAGGAGAGAGCGATTATGGCGAATCATGTCTGCCATAGAGGCAAGGGCAGGGTGGGAAAGGGGATATTGGTGGTGGGGAATGTGCACTGGTGGAGGGATGGGTGTTTGATCATTGTGTGATTGTAACCCAGACATGAAAGCTTATAACTATCTCATGGTGATTCAATAAAATTTTAAAAAAATGAAAACCTCTTCACTTTCAATTCATTCTACCTATTATACTAAGATTCTCTATCATGGAGTATAAATAGTAGAATTCTCTTGCCCAGTGTTTTTAATAGCTCTAATTATCTACAGAATAAAAACTGTACCTGTTGATATTTGGAATAACTGGATAAGGGAATGCAATGTTTTAAAGAAGGGATGTCCTGATTAACCTTTGCCCCAGAGTAAAAGATGGAGAAGGAAAGAAAGAGTGGAGGGTGGAGACAGAAGAGACAAATGAGAAGCACAAGAACCAGGACCAGGGAGTCAGATAAAAAGATGGTGTTAAGGAATGATAGAGCCAATTATCCAAATCTCAGAGTCAACAACACTAACAACAAGAGACCCAGACTTTTTTTTTCTTATTTTAAATTTATTTATTGAATCACCATGAGAGCAGTTATAAAGCTTTCAGATTTAGGTCTCAATCATACAATGGTGAAACACCTTTTGCTTCACCATTGCCCATTTTCCACCACCCAAAACCCCAGCATACTGCCCATCCCACACCCTCCCCCCCCCCACCTGTGGGGCAGATGATTTACACATTACTCTCCCTTTTTGATTTCATTCAATATTTCTACCCCCGGCCCACCATTATTATTTGGAATTTTACCCCAACACTCAGATCTGCTGAAAAGGCAACCATAGACAATTTGTTTTCTATTGCTGGTTATGAATAACATATGATGTTGTGCAGCCACAGTAGTGGCCTCATGATTTTGGAATTCCAAAATTTTAACAATTAAATCTGGAGGGATTTATGCCAAAACCTGCTGGGTTCAAAATTTGTTCCTAAGTCTCTGGGATCATGGCAGTTAAGCAACTTGATCAGGAGCCAGAGAAGCCATTCATGGGCAGTGACCCAGGGTCTCCTTGGGGCAGGGAGGAAACGGCCAGCTACACCCCCATCCTGTGAAGCCCCACGTGTCTTGTCACTGTAGGCCCAAATCTGACAGTCCAAGGACCTCTGGAGGATGGCAGCCACCAAGCCTCCAGGAGGAACAGGCCAAGGCACAAAACCTATTCCCACCTGCGGTGGCCTGGCGCCAGTAACCTGCTGCAGGAAGCGAACGCATTTCTGCCAAAAGCCGCTGGGTTCCAAGATTTGTTTCTGAGTCTCTAGGATTATGACCATTAAGCAGCTTGATCAGGAGCCAGAGAGGCTGTTCATGAAAGGCAATTCAGGGAGAAGACTCAAACTTTAACAACCAGACTTAGAGAGTTGCCTATCATGAGGGCAGGTTGCAGGGGTGAGGGAGGAAACCTGGTAACATTGGTGGGGGGAAGTTGACACTGGTAGTGGGATCGGTGCTACAATATTGTATGTCTAAAACTCAATAATGAATAACTTTGTAAACCACTGGGCTTTAATAATAATTTTTAAAAAGATGAATAAAATTATACCTCTTGAGCCAGGAAGATTACTCAAAGGACTGGAGTACATGCTTTGCATGCAGGAACCCCAGGTTTGATCCCAGACATCACAAGATCTCCCAAGATCCCAGCCAGAAGTAACACCTGAGCACCACTGGGTGCTGCCCTGAAGCAGGCTTATAGATATGGAAGCTCCCCCCACCCAACCCCATGGCAATGAATTCCTGTAATAAAATCAGTAGCCGCAAGGCTGCAAAAATCCACCTATGGACACAGGAACTAAGGTCTGATAAGACTTTTACCAGGTGCCAGAAAAGGCTGGACCCCCTTCTGAGAGAACCTCCCAAGGAACAAAGGCCAGGAAAGGAACATCAAAGAAGACCATCAACTGTTCCCAACTCTACTCCCTGGGCAACCATCATAGCAATGAACTCATTTTGATAGAAAGCCTCACATGGGGCTTTTGTAGAAGAACCCCTATAAAAGTCAACTTGAACAAAGGAAGCACACACATAGGCTGCCTGAAGTACATGGGTCACAAACACATGGGTTGTCAGCATCTCCTCTCTTGAGATGTGTACTTTCATATCTTCATAATTTAACAATGGTCTGTGTACTGGGGCTCTCTTTGCCTTTGGAGAAGCATCTCTGGCACCATGTAAGATCATCTTAACTGGTCTTTACAGACTCATAAAAAAAACTTGAAAGAGATCAACTAACCACAAAAATTCTCAGATATCTGTACCTGGATGAGATGCCCAGGTTGCTCTTAGAGGGGCTTGGGCCAGTGCCTGCCCAAACAAAGCCATGATAGTTGTTCGTTTCCACATTCCAAAGCTACCACCATGCCTTTGGCTAGATTTCATTGCATCAGAACTACTGAGCCTCACAGAGAACTTAGCCCAGCTGAAACCTCAGGTACATGGTTCCCCATGGCTGAAAGCTCCAGGACTTCTTGGAATCTGGATGGGTTACCTCCCCCACTTTCTTGTACTTCTAGAAGCCCCCAGCAGTCATGGTCACAAACCACTTCTGCTACTATGTAAACTCAGTAGTAAAAAATTTAACTCCAGCAGGATTGGCCAGTTAAAAATTCTGGATTTTCTGGAAAGACATCTCCAAATTCTACCAATAGAGCACACTAAATTGGATGAAATACAATGTAGAAACCAACCAATCTCGATTGAAAAAATATTAACACAGAAGCTTAACAATATCTTAGTAATCCCTCAGACAAGGACTTAATATCTTTATGGTGAGATACAACAATTTTATCTGATTTTCTTCTAAGGAAATATATTTTGATCATTTTGTTAACCATTTATAACTAACAAGCAATATAAAGTAAATTTTGTGGGCCTGTCACTGAGGTAGACTTGAGGGGTGGTTGGCAAAAGGGAGACAATGGTGGAGGGAAGGTGACAGTGGTGGTGGGATTGTTGTTGAAATATTGAATGCCTGTAACAAATCTATATGAACAACGTTGTAAACCACGACATTA